CATTTAAAGAATATGCATAGAGATGGCACGAGATAGATGCCCAGGTGGTGCCACCTATGGGAGAACATGAAATGACCAAGGTCTTCCGGAAAACCCTTGGATCATTTTATCATGAAAGGATGGTCACCAGTGCACCGAGTGATTTTACCGAAATGGTAAGCATGGGTGTTAGACTAGAAGAAGTTGTCAGAGAAGGGCGCTTGACAAAATACGAAGGGAGGAAATGTTGTTATTAGGGAGAGGAAGATTAGGCCACTTAGAAGGCATCAACGGTGCCAACAACAAGTTTCTTTTGTGACTCTAGTCGTTAATGTAGCACGCACCACTATTTCCTATCAGAGACCATCCCCTCGGGGAAATCAAGGGAAAAGTCAGAAGAGAGAGGCTTTTGACTCAATTCTAATGAGCTATGCATAGTTACTTATGGCTTTGATTCAGAAGAAGTTGGTCCATACCAGGCCGCCCCCTGCTATACCATCACCTTTACCCTTGTATTATAAGGCATACCAGACATGTGCTTTTCATCAGGGAGCACCAGGGCACAACATCGAGAACTATTTTCCTTTGAAATCTGAAGTACAAAAGATGGTGAGATATGGCCTCCTATCCTTTAAAAATGTTGGCCCTAAAGTGAAAGATAATCCTTTGCCTAAACATGGAGGAGAAATGCTATAAACATGGTTGCTGGTTATCCTGGGGACTTCTGGATTTTTTATATCAATATGGTTAGAGGATATTTTGTAAAGATGCATGTTGACCTCTACAAGTACAGTTACTATACGCACGACCATGCTGTTTGTAGTATTTGCAGTACAAATATCCAGGGGTGTGATAAGATAAAAGTTGATCTCCAGGAAGTGATGGACGAAAGCCTCATTCATATGATCAGGCCTAGGGCAGAGTACGAAGAAGATGTGAATATGGTCTATTGATTTCATAGAGAATTCAAGATTTTTGACGCGAATCATATGAATGTTGATTTGGTGCAGTTACATGCTACCTTCTGTCACATGGATGGACAAGAAGAGCACAATTATGGGTATTTCCAGGCCTGCTGTAGAGATTCTCGTGGTTGTTCCATTGTAAAAATGGGCGTTCAGTTATTGTGGACAATGCTACTATCAAAGTCTCAGGCAATAGAGACGATTACAATGAAATTAACGTGATTGAAGATTGCTCAGCCGAGATTATGTCAGATGATGAATATGCTTCAGCAGATGAGTTCTTTTCTTCTGATGAAGATGTGTTCTCCAATAATGATTATGTGATGTCTAAGTATTCTGGGTGAATGTTATTGTTCCTTTTTTTGGTGTTTCTGCCCCTATAAAGATTGAGTACCATATCAAGTCAGTGGTTGCTCCATTGGTGATTTGCTTTCCGGGTCTTGTTCCTTACGAATCAGACAAAGTCGTGCCATACAAATACAATGCTACAATCCTAGAGGATAGTGTGGAAGTTCCCATCCAACCTTTGTCTGATGCCAAGAATATTGTTGAAGCCAGCCGAGTGACCCATAGTGGCCGTATTTTCGCACCTGGGAATGTTAATGGTGATAAAAAGGTTGTCGAAAGTGTTGAACCAAAGAAAGCAGTGGGGGAATCTAGTGGTACTACTCTGGAAAAAGATGTGGATGATATATTGAAGATTATCAAGATGAGCGACTACATTGTCATAGATCAATTGTTACAGACTCCATCAAAGATATATATTCTAGTCTTGCTAATGAACTCTTTTGCCCATAGGGAATCTTTGATGAGAATATTGGATCAATCTTTCATGGAAAGTGATATGCCTTTGGAACAATTCAGTAGTGTTGTCGGGAATATTACATCTTGTAATAACCTGAGTTTCTGTGATGACGAGTTGCTCGATGAAGGAAGGAATCATAATTTGGCTCTCCATATCTCCATGAACTGCAAGAATGATTCATTGTCCAATGTGTTGATTGACCATGGATCCCCTTTAAATGTCATACCGAGGAGCAGGCTCATGAAGATAAAGTACCAAGGAACTCCCATGCGCCCGAGTGGCATAATTGTGAATGTTTTTGATGGATCGAGGAAGTCTGACATCGGGGAAGTAGATTTTCCTATTCACATAGGCCCGCACTTGTTTAATATTACTTTCCAGGTTATGGATATTGTTCTCACTTACAGTTATTTACTGGGATGACCGTGGATCCACGAGGCAGGGGTTGTCACTTCAACTTTGCACCAGAAACTAAAGTTCATTCATGAAGGAAAGGTGGTTATCATAAATGAAGAACATGCATTGTTAATATCTCATTTGTCCTCTTTCAGTGTTGTGGAAGCGGATGAAGCTGCTGTTGGAACTCAGTTCAAGCTTTATCCATTGATAATATAAAGGAAAATGAGAATTCTATAGCTTCATTTAAGGATGCTCAGCAGGTGGTGCATAAAGGCCCTAGTAAAGTATGGGGGCAGATTGTTGATCCGCTTGTGAATAAGAATAGAGTTGGTTTGGGAATTTCTGTGAAGAATGGTAAAGGTGAGGTTTTGAAGCCGGAGTCTGCTTTGGGCAAATATCAGGATATCTTTTACAGTAGAGGTTACCTTCATTGAACTGTTCCTAGGATCAATGCTATTGTGGAAGGTGAATCAGAGCAAGAGATGCCGAACTATGTGACGCATGGAGTCAGAGTCCAAAACTGGATCACTATTGATGTTCCCTCTTGCATTCATATTTCAAAGTAATTTGTTTTTTGTGTTAATCTTCTCAAAAATCTTTCACTCTTCCCAAGGTGAAAGTATTGATATTGTATGGGCTTATCTGTTGCTTTGATCTTTAAAATCAATAATAAAAGTTGTCTTTGATTCCCAAATTGTGTCTTTATTTTCTTCTTTTTCTTGGAAAATGGTAATCAGAAAAAACCATTTCAGATTAAATAATAACTGTGAATAAATCTGCATAATCACTTGCTATATTTGTCAGTTTCTAAAATCAATCATAAATCATATGTGCATATTAATTAATAAACTTGTTGAGTACAATGACCCTGCGCCCTCTCCCATCTTTGAATATCTTACGTATGTGGCCGAAGAAGAATAATATGATGAAATCCCATAAGAGGTTTCACGGTTGCTTGAGCACGAGGAAAGTGCCATTCAGGTGTATAAAGAGCCATTAGAGATGATTAATTTGGGTTCAGAGGAAGATCCGAAAGAAGTCAAGATTGGAGCATTATTGCATCCCGATGTAAAGAGCAGGTTGATTGAATTGTTGAAAAAGTATGTAGATATATTTTCTTGGTCATACCAAGACATGCCTGGTTTAGATACTGATATTGTGGAACATCATTTACTGCTAAAGCCAGAAGGCCCACCAATCAAGAAGAAATTTCGAAGAACTCACCCTGATATGGTAGTGAAAATTAAAGAAGAAGTTTTAAAGCAGATTAATGTCAGTTTTCTTGTGACATCAGTGTACCCTCAGTGGATTGTCAATATTGTCCCAGTACCAAAGAAAGACGGAAAAGTTCGCATGTGCGTGGATTATAGAGATTTAAACAAAGCTATTCCAAAAGATGACATTCCATTACCATATATTGATATATTGGTTGATATTACAACAAAATTCAAAGAATTATCGTTCATGGACGGACTTTTCAGATATAATCAAATCAGAATGGCTCTTGAGGTCATGGAAAAAACAACGTTTATCACACCCTGGGGAACATTTTGTTATAGAGTGATGCCCTTCGGGTTGAAGACCACTGGTGCAACGTATCAGAGGGCTATGACAACCTTATTCCATGATCTGATGCACAAGGAAATTGAGGTATATGTTAATGATATGATTTCTAAATCCCAGACTAAAAAAGGGCATATAGAGGATTTGTTGAAATTGTCCGCATTTGAGGAAGCATTGTCTCCGCTTGAATCCAAATAAATGCACCTTTGGTGTTCGACCAGGAAAATTGTTAGGTTTCATTGTCAGCCAAAAAGGAATTGAAGTTGATCCTGATAAAGGTAAAGCAATTCAAGAAATTCCTGCACCAAGAACTGAAAGCAAGTTAGTGGCTTCCTTGGGCATTTGAATTACATTTCCAGAGTTATTTCCCATATGACCGCGACGTGTTGTAATACCCAAAATTTATCCTACCCTCTCACTTTTATCTGGCTTATGCATTTTGTGCTTCTCAATCCATCTACATACCTTAGGTCAATTAACACCTCATGCATCACTAACCAGTAAATTTAACACGTGATCAAGGATATTGAAGAATTAGGGTTGTCGTATGGCTTTTAGGCTCTCATCTTTGCGCAAGCTTGTTTAGGTTGATTTCTCCATTAATCATTTGTTTGAAGCTAGAGTTTTATTTCATGGGTTTGTTTATCATCAAGCTACATGGATATTCTTTCTTCTCAACATCAAGTTGCAATTTGTCTATGAAGCTAAGGATTAGGGTTAATTTCCTTAAATTAGGTGGTGATTTCAGAGGTTTTCGTGGAGTATGGTTCATTAGTGAACCTCGTCGTTCTAGGGATCTCCTTCATTGATTGAAGTACAAGTTATCGTATAAACTAAGGGCATTGAGGATAGGGAATTAAAACAAGGAAGTATGGTTGTGATATTAGTCAGGCATGACATGCTATTCAGTTCAAGTTCTTATAAGAGATCAAAATGAAACAACCGTGGAAAACAAGTGTGTGGAACCAAAAGTTCATACTCCTTTTCGGTTCATGATTTCAACAATTGATGTGGATCAATTCAAAGGCTCAAGGGTCCATGTTACAAGCGAAGTGGACAATGCTAAAAAATGTTATTTGAGGTGCGAGTTATATCAACTCATATCCAAGATGGGCATTACAAAATTAGAGAAGGATTTAAATTTGTTGAGAAAGGTCATGACAATTGAAAGATCAATCTCATGTCAATAAACTTCCATTACATACTATGGTACAAAATTTCATTACAACTTGGTTGATGCAAAACATAAGGACCTAGATCTACATTCAGACAGCTCCCTCAGATTTTATATGCCTTCATTCACTTTTTCTTGGCCTGATAAGATCTCCACAAGTCTGTCTCGAGTTATTCTTGCTCTCCACCCCAAGTTTCCCCCTGCTTCCAAAACCAAATTATGCCAAACAATAAACATGCTTCAAAACTTGAAACCTTCATGCTGCCACCTGCTACACGCTAGTCGTGCCCTGTACTATGAACAACAGAAAGCTGCAACAGAAAATGTAAATAGAAACATCCATCAGCCCTGCACATAATCAAATAAACCGCGGATATAAATCAAACCAATCTCTAATCATAACATCCCTAACAGTCCATCAAACTTCCAGAAGAAAACCAAAACATAACAGTCCAACAAACTCTAACTAATTTCTTACCCGACTCACTAACAAATTCTACAACTGTCTTGCTAACCTCCTCTCCAATAGAAAATAGACCTTTAACCTCCATCAACCTTTAACATAATTTTAAACTTCTAACCAACAAACTGTAACTAACAGTCCCTAACATAAAAATAATTATAACAAACTCTCCAGCTGATCTCAATAACAGAGGGAGATCTCTAACCAAAACCTCACGGCATAACAGAATTCTAACTTCCAAAACAGAATTCTAAAATTTCCTTTAAATGATCTAACTAACTTCCTAACAAGCTCCTAAAAGTTTTATAACAGGAATATAACAGAAGAAGAGAGAGGATTTCATGAGGCTTTCATAACAGAAACTCACCAGAAAATAACAAGAAGAAAACTCTCTCTGCAACCCTCTCTCCATGATCACTCTCTAATCTCCATCTACATCTGCTTCATCCATCTTCAATTATTCATTTTCATCATCTCCATTGGTAATTATCTTTGGCTTCAACCATCTTCACCTCCTCACGCATCATCATCACAGATCTGCAACATTCATCATCGCGTTCATCATTGCTTTCTTCTTCAATGTAACAATTTCGATTCGTAACAACTCCAATACAACACTGACGCAACGGAAAAGCGCAAATCAGAATAAAATCAGAAAAGAGAAGAAAGAAGTAAAGGAAGAATAATAAAAGAAGAATCAATGGATACTTGTTATTACCTGACATTTCAGTGAAGATCCTCTAGTTTTCTGTTGTTCCGACACCATTGACGAACATTGGAATCTTCTCTAGTTAGTGAGCCCTATATCCATCGTCCCTTCACTGTTTCTTATGCTACTTTGCACCGATGTGTAGATTAAGATGTGTTGAAACGAAGTCCCAAGGTATTAAGCTCGGATTCTTCAACATCACCATTCAATTCTAGTTTTTAGGATACTTAGGTTTTGTTTAACCCAAATTTGGAAGATGGAAACGGGATCTGGAAAATTGAGGTGAGAAGAAGATAGAGACAGATAAGATGAAGGTAAAGGTGTAATAGATTTGGGGATTGGATGAGCTCCATCGCCTCCGGTATGGCGGAGCGATTTCCGTAGGTTTGAAGGAGAAGACGAGGAGAGAGGGAGATAGCATATTTTGTTTATGAACCGGAACGTCATAAGTCCTTAGCCCTAACTTCCTCCCAAAACTCCACCATTTCCGTTTTCCATCCTTTTTCTTTATTTTTTTAATTGAATTATAAATATAATGGGCTGCAATAAAAACAATAAGCAATTGGCATTGTTGGTGAACAAATTGGACTCATGCTGAACCAAATTTTATTCCCTAATCCCGTTGTTATTTTTTAGCATTACTGAACTTGTGTAAAAAAATGCTTAGGGATTGGTTTGATGGGCCTAGTTCCCTGCTGCTCCATACTCCCTGGACTCAAATTAGCACCCCTGAGTTCACTAATTCTTCATTAGAATTAGGACTTTTTGTTAATTTTTTGCCAATAAAATACGTGATAAAAATAATATAAAAACATTAACAAAAAAATAGTAGAATAATATAATGTTTTTTTAAGGAATTAATTCTTTAGTTTTTTTAGAATTCTTCTTAAATAAAAAACTAATAAATAAAAAATACTTTTTCTTTCTTGTTTTCATCCGTATTTTTGTGCCACTTTGCCATGCTATTTTTGACGCGTTTGTTCGTTGGGCAAGGTATATTTTTATGCTTTCGATCATGTGACATAATAAGTTGTCATGTGATTGAGGCATACGGCATATGCTCGCCTCTGATGTGATGTTCCTTATTTCTCATCGTCTTGAGTAATTCATATCGTATTATATGTTGTCCTGATGCATGTGATATTATATGACGCTTTGTGCAGGAACTTCTGATTACGCGTTGCATTCGTAACACGCATTTACCTTTATCTTAGTTGGATATCATTTATGACTTTGTTTGTTTCTTGGTGAAGCTTTCTTGACGCGTACTCCCTGCTTCTCCATTGATTTCGTTCATTCTTGACTATTTTCTCGCTTTTGGTAGTCACTGTTACTACCTTTGTACTTCTCCGCACCTTACTGCATTTCTTTACAGCTTTTCTAGATATCATGAAAATTAGGGTTTTACTGCTTTCCGATGCCATGAGAAATAGGAATAAAGATGTATGACGGGGGTCTCTGTTGCTGATCATGTCAGGAACCCCTCTGGTTTATTTAAAGACCCGTTTAGGGAAATTCCGCATTGTTTGCCATTGTGTGCTACCTGTGTGTGGTTTGTTTAAAACCCTACCTTTGTGTAGGTATTTTGCAGGTGTGTTTACATTTTGTGTCTGCATTATTCCCCCATCCATTATTGAAGTCCTCAAAAGGAGGCGAGTGTGGAGGGTTTGTGTTGTACCCAAAAATTTACCCTCTCACTTATCAAAGATTTCCTCACAAGATCTCTTGAACTCAAGACTGCATTAGGGTTTGACCAGCTCAAGACAACTCCTCATGCACTGATGACCAAAATTTGGGTTTGAGTTTGCACAAGGATTTTTTGGACTATCAATGCTTCATATGACTTTCAAGGATCATTATGAATCCCCAAGATTACTCGTGACAAGTTTCAAGCCTTGAATCACATTTTTGATCAGTCAATTGGACAGTTGACCTAAAAATCAGTTGTGTTGGGGAAAAAGTCAACCATGGCCAATTTATAGTTAAACTTCATAATTTTTTATACATATCAACATCTTAGACTCATATGTATCATTTGATCAAGTTTGGACCATAATTCCTCAAGAAATTTGATCAAATCATCAAAAGGGCAAAATGGTCAAAATTAGGGTTTTGACTGAGAAAGGGAAATTTTTCTGATTTTTGACCTAGCAAATGGTTAATTGGTTTAAAGCATGATTTCAAGAGTTAAATGGAATCATCTTGACCTAATTACATGTTTCAAAACATTGCAAATACATTGGGTTGACAGATGAATTTTGCAGTCAACTGATCAAAAGTCAACTGTATACTGAAAAGTCAAACTTTGACTTTTTAGTCAAAATCAAATGCCAAAAATCATAATTCATCAAAACATTTCAAAATGAGAAACTTGTTCATCAAGAAATCAAGGGTTTAAGTTTTTGTTTTGAAAAGTTGAAAATTTTAACTTAGAAAATTTTCTAAGTATAGAAAATTTCTTATTTTTTCTCAACTTTGAGCCAAATTTTCACCATGATGCAAGATGATTCAAAGGAAACTTCCAACTTGAAAGTTGTAGATCTACTTGAAATATACAACTTTTATTCACACAATTTATCTTAAAAATGCTTGGATCTCAAGATATAATTTTGTGAATACATGCTCATGAACTAAAATAACTTAGTGAAATTTTGCCCTAGTTAGGCCGTTTTTTGACCTAACTTCATGGCAATTTTTCACATAGTTCCAAGGGGGATCTTCAAAATAAATTCAAAGATGAGTTATAGAGAACATTGCAAGCTTTCCAAAATGTCCCAGAACTCCTTGAGATCATTCTTGAGTATGGAGAATCGAAGAGATGAAGTTGGTGATTTATCACTTTGATTTCAAGCCATTTCATGAAGAACAAAAATTCAAATCCTCAAGCATGCTGAACAAATCTTACTTTGCAGGCTCCTAACATGACTTTCACTCCATATTAAATGTTTTCACAGATATTACAAGCTTTATTCCAAGCATTGAATGCATTGTACAAGAATAATTCCATTTTTGGCACAAAGGTGCCATTTCCATTTTGATAAAGCACTACTTTTGCAATTTTCCACTTCTTGAGCCTTGCACTTGTTTTCTCTGCACACAAGCAAAGCCAAAACCAAAAGCAACTTTCCCGAAGCCTCTACCAAACCAAACCATGCTTGTACAACACTTAGGGACTTGTCTCCTCACTTTTCTTCAAAAGGAAGTAATAGAGCCAAAAGGTTATATCTCAGAAATATTGAGAAATCTTGATGTTTAACGTCTTCCATACATATACACAAGTATATTGCAACCTAACACACGGATGCTAAGACTCAGAAACACTCCCAAACACTTTACCATTGAAAATCTTCCATAGCTTGACAACTTTGAACCTTACTCAGCCATCTCCAAATTCACTCGTGTGTTTTGAGTTTTAACCACCTAAACACTTAATATACATCACACCTAAGTGATCCAGACCCCTGTTCCCTTACTATAACTCCTCCTCCATCCACCATTTTCAAATATCAAGCTTGTAGGTTGACTTGAGTAGGGAGATTCAGAGACTTTCAAGACAAGATAAGGATTGGAATACACCCAGGGAGGTCCAGGCAAGCTAAACAGATCCTCAGGCCTTCTCAAAACTTTCTCAAACTCCATTCTCGATCTCAACTGAAAGAGGTAAAAACTCAAATTACTATATCTTCGTACAAGCATCCTTTGGTCCTGATTTGTGAAATAAAAATATAGATATCCTTGCACTAAAGCTAATCATGTTCATAGTTTTCATTTATATTAACTATGTATAGAGAATTTTGGATTTGAAATTTCTGTAAAAATTAGGTTTCAAATTAGGGCAAGTAAAATTAGATTTGATCTTTGATTGTTAGTTTACATAAATTATATGGTTGAACTCGTGGGAAGAAACACCATAATTTTCATGTTTGGACTTTCCATTTTCATGGATAAATGAGAGAGATACAGGTGGTCCGGCCATGGCTCAAGGTTGAAGATGAAGTAGCCTTCAGGGGGCGTTTTCTAATATATATTTATCTTTGTGTTTCTATAAACGGATGTACAGTCACCCCATTGGTAAGGCAGCGCGCAAAAATGCTATAGGTCACGGGTTCGAGCCTTAGCGCCTGCCTTTTGCATTTTCTCACATTTTTTGCCATTTTTTGGTCCCTTTGCAGCGTGGGCCTCTGAACTTTAGGCTTTGTGATTTTTTCTAGACACTCACCTCCTGATTGCTCATGACACCCCTGACCCATATAATTTTATTTATTTATTTTGTTTTCATTTTATTTTCTTAAATATATTTTTCTTAATATTAAAAATCATAAAAAAATATAAAAAATGATAGATTTATATTTTAGCTTATTTTATTTTTATTTTTCTCACAAAAAAATATTTTATTTAGTTATATATTATATATTTTATTAAATAAACTTTGTAAATTAAATTATAACTAGTTTAATATATTTTTTTCTATATACCTATTAAATATTTATTTTAATATAAAAGGACCAAAATACCTCATAATGCCATGTATTATTTTCAAGATAAAAATACAAAAATACTTACTTTTTTCTTAAAGAAATTTATTTTCTTTTAATAAAATAGAATTAGGGTTTATTCAAAAATAATTTCTTTTCTTAATTAATTTAAGTTAATCTTGATTTATTTTATTAGGTTTAGGTTAAAACTTTTTTTCACATAAAAATCAAACAAAAATCTTCCTTGCACTTACATACCTTTGCATAATTAATTCATCTTGTATATTATTTATTCCAATATTTGTACATATTCAATTTGGTTGTAATAGATTAATTAGGTTTATATTATTGCAATCCCCACTCATAAATTTTATACCCCTCTCCCACAAATGTTGTAATAGCGTAGGACATTTAAATTTCACAATTTATCGCTTTTATATAACATGCAAGTAATTAGGGTTTGTATGGCAAGATAAAACCAATCAAATAGAAAACCCTAATCCAATACAAAATCAAGCATGAAAATGATACACTTTCACACAAAATACCCCTAGGGTTATCCAATTTGGTTGCCTTATACAAAATGGCCATATTACGCATGTAAAGTGTCTTAGCAAAAACAAACAAATACAAGATCATAGTCCCTCGATGACGCTATTCAAAGTTGCCTTACAAAAATGATCTTAGTCCCTAAAAAATGCTAAGATACTTTGCAACATTGTTAATCATGTCTATACGATGACCCACGACTGTCCCGTTTACATCCAAAGATAGGGTTGTTTACCAAATCAATGGTAAGACAACAATGTCAAAGGAAAAGGAAATTAACAAGAAAGACATTTGAGTAGGTAGATTGCTCATAATTACTTGCTCTATTTCAAAACAAACATCCTTGCTATTTTCAAAACAATCACATACACCTTCAAACATCTTACAAAACTTGAAAACATTTTCAAAAGATCAAACATATTTGTATACATTCTTACGAACAAGAATCATTACAAAGATTGTCTAAACAATGGCCTCTTTACAAAATACTTTCAAAACCACACAAAGCATAATTTTAAACAAAAGCAAGTGATCT